CATCCTCAGTGCTTCCTCTAAGTGTTGCTCAACATGGAGGAGTACTGATTCATCAGCTGAGGGAGGACAGTATGTGGTAATCAGCAGGAGGTTTCCTTGCCCATGTTTAACCATGAGACTTCATGGGGGTCCAGAGTCAATGTTGAGGACTCCTGGGGCAACACCCTCCCGACTGTATCCCTCTGTGCCGCCCCCTCTGCTGGGTCTGTCCTGGTGGTACAGGACATATCTAGGGATGGTGATGGTGGTGTCTGGGAAATTGTTTGTAAGGTATAATTCTGTGAGTATGACTGTGTCAGGCTGTTGCTTGACTAGTCTGTGAGACAGCTCTCCCAGTTTTGGCACTAACCCCCAGATGTTAGTGAGGAGGACTTTGCAGGGTTGACAGCTGTTTCTGCCGTTGTCTTTTCCCGTGCCTAGGTCGATGCCAGGTGATCTGTCTGGTTTCATTGGCCGAAATGGAGTAGTTGTTCTCAAAGATGGCGATTACTGTAAATGGTCACAAATTATCTGAAAGTTTCCCGTCTCCCAGAAACATCTTGATGTGTATTTAACAACAGACCAGTTAGAGGAGCCTCCCTGCGTGGAGGGAACAACAATTCTTCAACTATTGAAAATAGAGCACATAAAGAGTATCTCCATTAAACAAGAAATAACAATTCAACTTAACATCCATTTCTGAAAACCTTACTTTGAAAGGCACAAATTGAGACTCTTTGAGTAGATGAGTTGGAATCTTCCCACGTTCACTGTCTCTGCAGTATAACCTTTGCTGATGAGCAGGGCTAATCCCTGTCTGTCAAATCACTGACCAGGGTCATCTGCTTCATTCAGGCCTATGGTCAGTTATGTGAATTTGTGCATTTGGATCTCGAAGGATAGAGTTCACTGTCATATTTGCCAGCTGTGAATGCCAGGGCTGTTGCCTTTCTCATAACTGTGCTGGGAAATCCTCTGGCACAGCAGGTAGTGTCCCTGCCTCTCAGCCAGAAGATCACGGTTCGAGACACACTCCAGGACTTGAAGAGTTCATAATGAGGCCAGACAGGTTGATTATTGGGCAAAAAAATCCTTCTGATAAATTTACAGCAGGCCTAGGGTTTCATGGGGAAGACGAGATTCCTGGTGACTAAGACTGTGTGGTAACCCCACATTACAAACCTGTATGTGCAGGTTCGTATCAAAGGCGGTGCTCCCAACCTCATTGATTTGAGTGATCTCGGCTGTTCTTCAATTACAGACAGGGCATCATCCGTTTACTCACTCCCAGATTCCATATTTCCAACAAGTACACTATCCCTTTAATAATCAGCACGAACAAAAGTCTTTTATTTAACTCCTCTATCAATGCAAAGCATTTGATATTTGAATAATTTCTGTGATTGTTTCGTAACATGGGGTGTGGATGCCGTTGGCTGGGCCCAGCATTTATTGCCCGTCCCTAGTTGCTCCCTTGAGAAGGTGGGGGTGAGCTACCTTCTTGAACCGCTGCAGTCCATGTGCTGTGGGTTGATCCACAAAGTCCTTTAGAGAGAGAATTTCAGGACTTTGACCCAGTGACAGTGAAGGAAAGGTGGTATATTTTCAAGTCAGGATGGGGAATGGCTTGGAGATGGTAACATTCCCATGTTTATCTGCTGCCCTTGTCCTTCTAGATGGAAGTGGTCATAGGTTTGGAAGGTCCTGTCTAAGGATCTTTGGTGAGTTTCTGCGCTGAATGTTGTAGATAGTACACACTGCTGCTACTGAGTGTTGGTGGTGGATGGGATACTGAATGAGACCTGAAAGTGAAACAGACCTGGTCCATTTTAGCATCATTGTTTTATAACTAGTGAATCCCCCATGAGAATTTCATGTTACAAATGCTAGTGTCAATTTTGATGCTGTTTGTGACAGAGATACATCTGGACACCATGACAATAACAGTTAAACCCTTTCAGCATTTCCAACATTTGAAGATGTATGTTGTTCAAATGCCAGACAATTCCTGGTTGCTCTCATTGTCCTGCAGCAGCTGATGGATTCAGTATTTTGAGGAAAATCTCTTTCCACTCACTTCCTGCTGCCCACATTTGCAAATAGTGGGAATTCTCCAATTCTGTGCTGGAGTACACACTTCCCAAATCCTGACCGTTCTCCCTGACATGTGCATGTCGATGAGATCACCTTGAGCCAGCCATGCTCACTGTACCCTTCGTTACCGAAGACCATTTCTATGAACTGAGTTCCTGCTGTGTGTTTCACTGAGCTGCAGTCTAGCACACAGCCAGTCGGAGGGGCAGCTCAGGGAGAGGGCGCTGTTAGAGGGACAGCAATGACCTTGTGGTAATGTTGCTGTCCCAGTAATCCCGAGGTCCAGCCTAAAGATCTGGGGACACAGGTTCAAATCCTGCCACAGCAGCAGGTGCGGATTTGAAATCGATTCATAAGATTTAGAATGGAAAACTGGTATTGGTGATGGTGACCCTGAAACAATCACGGATTGCTGTAAGGAAAAAAAAAATCAGGTTCACTGATGGAAGTCTCCCATCCTTACCTGGTCTGGCCTTCATGGATACCCTCTGCTGCAGTGGAATACTCTCCTTACTTAAGAACATGTGCTAGGAGTTCAGGGAGGATTAACTTGATTGTTAAATCTGGTGGGGCCTTAGCTGATGAGGGAAGCTTGAACTGGCTGGGCCTTTATCAGTTGAAGTTGAGAACAATGGGAAGTGGTTTTACTGAAAGATAAGATGCTGAGGGGACTGTGCAAAGTGGGTAGTGGGGGAAAGGAGAGCTCCGAGACAATATTTAAAATAAAGGCTCTCCCATTTAATTTTTGAGGGTTATGAATCTCGAGAGCTCTTGCTCAGACTGCAGTGGAGATGGAGGGTCATTGAATATTTTTAAGCCTGAGATAGGTAGTTTCTTGACTAAGGTGGGGGTGGAGTCCCAGGTTATTGGGAGTAGACAGGAAAACAGAGTTGAGGCCACAATGAGATTAGCCATGACCTGACTAAGCAGCCTCAAGGAGCCAGTATTTGTTTTAAATTTGTGGAATGTGGCTAGGCCAACATTGATTAGCCATCCCAGTTTCTGCTCCCTCTGTGTGTGTGTGTGTGTGTGTGTGTGTGTCTGAGACTTCAGACCCATACTGATGCCCTCTGAAACAGCCAAGCAACCCACTCAGTTCAAAGGCACTTAGGGCTGGGCAGCAATTGCTGGGCTAGCCAGGGTCACCTACGTCCCGCGAGAGAATAAAGTGTTGCCTGGAACTGGTTTGACTTCCTGCTGTCTGAAGTGAAATCCTGGAATGAAGGATTCCTTGGTCAGTGTGTGAGAGCATAAGAACAGTAATAGGGACATTCTGCCTGTTCTAGTCAACCAGTGAGCATTACTATTGAATTGATATGTATTTCATATTTTTTAAATTTTAACCTAATTTTCTAGTTAACCCATTCAGAGATGTTATTATGCACCTCTGGAGCAGGTTGGTCTTGAACCTGGACCTCTCAGTTCAGGGGTAGGGAATGTACTTCATTCAGGTGGGTGTTGTCAACAGCAGCTTTAGGACAGGTTTAAAAGGCCATCCTCTTGTTATTTCACCAGCAAAGCTGGGGAAAAACCGAAAGTGGCTTTCTGCAAAACTTAAATTGATTTTAATAATATATATGATTATACACTCCTCCTTTTCAAACATCTGATGATGTTTATCAATGCAGAGTGATGCCAACAGCTTGGGTTCAGTCTCTCCCTCTCCCTCTCCTTCTCCCTCTCTTGAGGCATGACGACCCTCCGGTTAAACCACTGCCAGTTGCTTCTCTCTAATGAGAGAGCAGCCCTGCGGTCCTTTGGGATTATGGTGATGTTACCTTTAATCTATAGCATTTAAAAGTCCTTTAATGTTGAACTTGGGAGCGAGATCAGCTGATGACTGTTAGGATGTCAATACCACAGCAGCTTTCTCCAAGATTTTCTCAAACTATATCTGGATATTCTTACATTTGTTAGTGTTTAACAAAAGCAAAGGTTTTTTAAAATTTCTAATCCTGCTTCTGGTTGAACAATTGTTTATTGGCGCATGACATGCACTGATTAATAACAATGTGATCATATGGTTCAGAAGGTGCCTCAGTAATTGTATTTCAGACACTTTGGGGCAATCTGACATTTTCTATAATAGTTATGTTTCCATTGTGTCTGGCAATGACGGTCATTGCATATTATATTTGGGGATATGCTGCTTTGGTACAGCTAGTTTAAGTGATAAGCATAAGTAATCAGCCTGAGAAATAACCAGTGTAACTGGTTTGAGAGATGGGAAATAGTTCCTAGATTATTCCTTCAATGAATGAGTTCCACCTACACAAACTGGCAGATTCATTGAAACCTTGTTGGCTGTGTCTGTACCTTTCCCAGATTTTTTTTTCTTTATAATTACATAAATTGATACTAATTCTGTGCCATCGATAGTAAATTTTCTGGGACTACAGTTAGCAACATCTCACCATTAGTATAATTAGGAATTAGTGAATTCGAAGATAGTTGTGTTCTGTACACCTCACCAGGTAAAGAAAATGCTCAATTAGAAAATGCTCTAGAGCATTCTGTGTGCTTTTGAAATGATTTTAAGGTAATTGTCTAGACCTTGCTTTCAGACAGGTCTGCAGGCTCTGATTTGTGTAGTTTGATGCTTGCTCTGTTTAACTTGCATCCTGGTATCAGTTAATTTGTGGCACTGTAGGTAATTGCAACTGTGGCCAGGCCTGGCTTTAAACTCAGGAACTTCTGGTCTGTATAAAGTGCTCACTTTCTCCCGTTAGAGAATTTGAGATTTGTTAGTTTACCATTGGACCCAGATAGAAACTGTTCACCTTTTTAATAAACTGGAACATTTAGTTACAGGCTTAAGCTTTTCAAGTGTTCCCAGCATTATCTCCATACAAAGTTTAATGTTCTTAAATATATTTTGCAATGAATCTATTTGAAAACCTGTTTTTTTTTTTTTCCTTAATTTTCAGATATATGTTGGCGAAAGGAACAAAACGGAAATTTAGTGAACATGAAGATGGGCTGGAAGGCAAAGTGTCCTGTGGGCATGGTCCTTCCAAGGTGTCGTACACCTTACAGCGTCAAGCTATCTTCAACATTTCCCTCATGAAACTTTATCAGCAGCAGCCATTAATGGAGCCCAGCCTGAAGAAGACAGTATTAATTAACAACATGTTGAGACGCATTCAGGAAGAACTAAAGCGAGAAGGGAACTTGCGACCTGTGTTCATTGCCCCCTCTCAGTCCAGTGACACGCTGAATGATAATTACAGAGACGTCCAGCCTGCCTTCAATCATCTTGCTTCCCCTCCTGCCCAGGTGACTAGCACCACACCTCCAGACTTGTGCCTGACACCAGCCTCTGTTCTGGAGGAAGATCCCTTTAGCAGCTGTCACACTGTCACACTGGGTCCCAGCAAGCCACAGAACCATTTACAGAAAGACACTTTCTCTTCAGCCTTGGATGAAATTGAGGAGCTGTGCCCATCATCGACCACGACGGACTCAAAGATCAGCAGAGAGCAGTCGAGTGAAGGTGGCAACGAGAAACCTGAAGAGGTACAAGAGAACAGACCGTCCGAGACCAGGTTCGCAGACCCTTTACCAGGCAACTTTGAAATTACCACCACAAGCTTTTTAACAGACCTGACACTCGATGACATCCTGTTTGCAGACATTGACACCTCTATGTATGACTTTGACCCCTGTGCATCTGCTACAGGACCAAGTTCAAAAATGACTGCTGTCACAGCAGATGACATTTTGAAAACCTTATCTCCCTACAGTAGCCAATCAGTGACTCCAAGTCAGCCTTTCAAAATGGACCTTGCGGAGCTGGACCACATTATGGAGGTTCTAGTCGGGTCTTGATATGGCAGAGAAACAAAGGACTAGGATTTTATACAATATTTGCAGATAACATTCGATTATTATTTTAAAATGTGATGGAATCACTGCAAATTCTGTGCATGCCTCTATAAAATAACAATTACACTAGATATTGTTTGTGTAGACTTGAGAATGTTTTCATCTGTGTGCCCTCTTGTATGGTTTTAAATGTTTTATTAATCATCGCTTTGTTATTCCAAGTAATTGCTGTAAATGAGGGTTATGTTCGGAGAGCAGTCCTGACGTGTTGTGCAATGTATGCACTGAGCTCAAGGGGCACGTGACGAGTATCACGTGACTTTCTTTCTATTACAGTAAGCCAGACTGTGAAGGTCTCAATATTTTTCCAGTTGTCTTTAGTTCAGACATACATTTCATTATTAACTGACTGTGGCTCTTTTAGACTGTACTGTGTTTGTTTGTGTTTTATTTTTGTACAGGATTGGCAGTTGATTGTATCCTTTTCGGAAATACTTTTTGATACACCGGAGATAGCTATTTTGCTAGGACATGCTCTCCCTGAACTCCACTAAGTTCAGGTGAACAAGAGTCACTTCTACTTTTTATACTGAAAGATAAGCTGAATGTTAATGTAGCAGCTGCAAGCAGAATATTCACGCAACTGGGATCTGTAAGAGGATCTAAGATAATAAGCATACTATTAAAGAAAAGATGTGGGGTAAAGAAAGTGTATCTTAATGAACAGAACTTGTCAGGAATAATTGTCCCTTTCCCAGCATGTTTGACTGAACCCTAAATGCATCACTTAGCACGTTACCTGTATATTCCTCAGAGATGCTTCAATGTCGTCATCTTGTTCAAAGCTGTATGAGTTGGATCTACAGGTTCAGAATTTGTTGGTCCCTGTCCTGTTGGTTAGATTTGTTGATACAGTCTAGGGTTTGTGTTTCTTGTCCTGGAAGTAGTGAGAGGAGCTTGGTGATTGGCTGGACCAATGGTATATTTCTTTAACTGATGAGGTGGAAGAATTGGAAAAATGAACAGAGGGGATGAAGAGGGGGAAGAATTAGTGAGTGATTTACTGTCAAACTAGATACACGAAGAGAAATTAAGAAAGGAATGAAAGTTTAATATGAGAGTGTGGAAGAAAAGAGAAACCAAAAAATATTCACTCTAGACGTTTTAAAAAAAATCTCCTTTAAACAACCTGAAGGGATGGATTTCCAAACTTGTTCACTTTCTGGGCTAGATAGGTTGACTTGAAGTCTTCGAGCAATCATTCTTGTTGTGCAAAGGGTAATTATGTTGATAATTACTAGACCTAGTTTCCTGTGAGTTTAAGGAACAATTAGTACATAAATATAATTGCTTGATGAAAATCACAGGGAGGTTGAAAGCAAAATGTTGTTTCCATGAAACTAATGGAATGGCACAAAGCTTTTGGCAACTTGGATTTTATGTGAAATCTCATCTTTGCCGTGAGTTGATGACATTGACACACTGTCCATTTCTTAGTCAGTAAAATCTGGGTGCCTCTTGCATTATTCTCTACTTATTCCTGATCATTGATTCTGGAGTAAGAGCTGTCTGCATGCTTCTCACACTGCAACACATCCAGTTTGCATCTCAGTGACATTCTGATACCTATGCAAGTGGGTGAAATGAACAACGTAGATGTCTTACATTTTCTGACAAAACACAAGTGCAACAACCTGGTGCAGTGCTGAACATTTTTAGGCATTGGGGAGGGTGTGGGGGTTGTTAGGATCAGACCAAACGGGTTTCCAGTTACTTGGTGGAACTGGGCGACACAGATTTGGTCGTGCTTTTTACTTCCAAGCTGCCCTTCCTCACTGGAATTGCACAGTGTGAGAGTGGGTATGCCTTTATAAAAATAAACATATCTTTATAAATAGGGGTTTCAAAGCATCTCAACTGCAGCTGCATTTTCTCTGACTAAAATGCAGCAATACACTGTAGCTCTAAACGGGGCGGTGCTGGGAGTGGGGTTTTCATTTTAAAAATGTTCAAGAAACCAGCAGTAAATTTCTTTTGTTTTTTAAAGGTTCTATTCTAGCCTGAGGAAAGCACCTAACTCCTCTTCAACTTTACCAATTATTTTCTCCTTTTTGCTTTTTTTTTAAAAAAAAGCTTGTGTACAATATTCAGAAAATGATTACTATCAGGGGTGCTTTCTGCACTTCACTGTTGGCTGTGATTCTGTGGATGCCTTTCTGCTGCAATTCAGTGAACCTTTCCCGAGCCTCCACATTGTTTCCAATCGGAGTGGTGCTTCATTTTGTATTATTCTCTAGCCAGGTTTCTGAAGAACAATCTCACCTCCTTTTCCGCCTCCCAACCACCACCTCCCACTTTAGTTTTAAACAATCAAATTTCAGGCAAAATATGAGCTCGATGCATGACTTTTACACTGAGTGTAATTACGCTTTCTACAACTTATATTTATGCACAGACAAGCATATTTGGTATTTCTTTTGTAGATTGCTTTAAAGATGATTGGAATGTACTATGCCTAATGCCAAATTATATCATTGCATTCTAGATTTTGTTATTTTTTAATGGTACCGTAGAAGTTGTGTGGAAACTACAACATTGTATTGTTGCAATGCATATGGCTAATTCAGGAGTCAATCTTTTTAAATTAATTTATTTAAGAATGTTTGTTTAAATTATGTTTTGGTATCCCATGTTATATTATCTGTTAAAATTCTGCTCTTTGTCCTTGCAATGAAATTTGTTTGTTGCTGTAACTGTGACTATCTTTGGGTTTTTATGTTGAAAATTTGAAACTTTTTATAAACAAGATGAAGGAACAGCCAAATGGTTTCGCTTTACTTGGCCCAGTTTCAGACTCTTCCCCTCAAAAGCTAAGGTTTAGAATGTGTGGGTTACCACCAGAAATGGTTACTTGTAACAATGTAAGGTGTCACCTTACAAGAGTTAAAGAATTGGGCAAATTCTCTTGACCAATTGGATAAATTCTCTTGACCAATTGGATGAATCTGATAAATTTATTGAGCTTTGAATTGATCTGGAATTAACCAAAAAATGATTCCTTCCTTGAGATATATTCACTCTGCAGTTTATACCTGTCTGATTTTAAGAATATTAGGACTTCCAAATTAACATTTAGACTTAATGCAATGTTTTAATGGGGATTTTTATTAAGCATACTCAGAAGTGGCCATTTCAAAATGGTGTCAGTGTACAAAAGCTGTTTAATGTAAAGTGTACATTGTTTGGACAGAACAGGTACAGTATAAACTCAAGGACCATGCAGCAATTTCTCATTGGTTCCTGGAAGGTAACACCACCAAGAACAGTAGAACAAAAGCCTTTAGGTTGTGAAGTGATATCTCTCCTCATACCTTATTTATTCTCTTTGTAAATATATTTATTTTTATTGTGTAGCCAACAGAATCTGTTAAATGGATTTGATGTGTACAGAATGTATGTCTCGTAGGAATGTAAATTTCTATGCTGAATAGTGGAAGCCATAATCCGAGAGATTGTTGTGTCCAAGTTGCCTTGAGGTTCCCTCAAGTGCTTCTGACTTTAGTCAAGGCAGCAACACCACAATGTCCCGCCAACCTTGGAGCTGTGCCTTTTTCTATGCAATATTTCAAAATGGACATCTGAAAGCAAGGTTACTGTATTCACAGAATTTCAAACTGTAATTGACTCAATGCAATTGGACAAATGTAGGTGGAGTTGAGCAGTCTTACTTTTGTAGTTTTCTATTTGACAATAAACTGTAAAATCCAGCTGTCTTCCCAAGTGCGCTCATTTCATGTGCAACTGTTTCTGAACTAGATCAAAGTCACGGAGTTGTCAGGTCGAAGCTTGTATTTGAGAAGCATGGAACAAATTAATTAATTTCTTTTCATTCAGGGATGTGGATGTTAAGGGCAAAGCCACTGTGGGAGGCCTTGGTGGTAGGACCTCGGTTCGAATCCTGCCACAGCAGGTGGTGGAAACTGAATTCAATTTTTTAAAGAAAATCTGGAATTAAGAGTCTAATGACAACTGTGAATCGTTGCTGATTGTCAGAAAAACCCATCTGGTTCACTAGTGTCCTTTTAGGGAAGGAAGATGCTGTACTTACCTGGTCTGGCCTACATGTGACTCTAGACCCACAGCAATTGACTCTTAACTGTTAGGGACGGGCAATAAATGCTGACCTAGCCAGTGATGCCCTGATCCCATGAATCATAAAAAAAAAAATATTGTCCATTCCCCTTCTGCCTTGGAGAAAGTTGGGGGTGAGCTGCTACAGTTTATGCATGTTCTGGTGTTTGGTAACATTTTTTGCCATAGCCAGTGGTTTGCTGGGCCATTCCAGGGGGCATTGAAGAGTCAGCCACATTGCTGTGAGTCTGGAGTTACATGTAGGCTGGACCAGGTAAGGAAGGCAGATTTCCTTCCCCAAAGGACATTAAGAACTTAATAGGTCTGTGCTAACGATGCAGTTGTTTGACTCTTCCCTGGTGCTTGTGTTTCTGTTTAATCCAAATTTGTTGAATTGAATTTAAATTTAAATTATTTTAATTTGAAAGAGATAATGTGATTGAAAATTTTAAAAATGGATGAGGGGTTTTCACCAGTTGCTAAGCCAGCACCTTGAGTAAATCCAAAAAGTCATTCTCTGAGAATATTGGGAGAGTTTAGATTAAATTCTGTTTATTTTAAACAGTGTTGACAGATATGGAAATACTGAGTCATACATTGGTGGAAGGATCTGTGGGAGGTACAAAATAATAAATCATTGACAAAGAAAGATTTAATGTTTTTAAGAAATGAGGCAAAGTGGGAATAATCCTATTGGATGTAGCAGTGGGGCTGCAGTGGTTGTATCAGTGAGAGGCTGGGGGGTGGTTAGCGAGAGGCTGGAGGGGCTAATGATCTGGAAATGAAAGTTCCAATCCCTTGCTCCTCTTTGTTACCTGTTGCCTGTCTAAAGGTTGCCAATTCTCCTTGCAACTTCTTCTGTAATTCCAGCTCATGGTTAATCATTTACCTCATATTCTCATGCTAGCCCCATATCCCTGACTTCACTAATATCTAGAAGATCTGAGTACGTTCAGGACAATGGCTGAGACACCACAGCCTCAGCCACACAATTCTAAAGTTTCTGCTTCTCCTCCACCCACCCCCCACTCAGTTCTCAATGGCTGGTCTGTCATTCCAAACTCTCCCCTTGCTCTAGATCCCTGAGGGATCATCATTCTTGCACAGCTTGACAGAGTAGATATAAAAACAGGATCAACTCTCCTGCTTCTAAAAGCCAGATAATACAAGCCCAGTCTCCTCTTTCTCTCCTAAACCCAGTGCTTGCATCGCAGAGTCAGTCTTGTGAACCTGCTGTGGGTGCTTTAGAGGGAGCATTGAGGGGACTCCCTCTCCAGTGTGTCTCCTTTCCCTGGGTAAGGAGATTAAACCTGGATGCAATACTCCAGGAGCTGTCTCACCAAGTGCTGTACAACTGGAGGTATCTTTGTGCCTGTACTCCACTCCTGAGAAAAAGAGGCCAATGTGCTGTTAGCGTTCTGAACAACTTGCAATGCCTGCATGTTTGTGCTTGTGACCAAACAACAAGGTGACCCAGGTCCCTTTGTATAATCGCTGTTTAAATCTCTCAACATTTAAGTAACTCTGTATTAAACTCATCCATCACCTACCCCACCCCTGGGTGCCTGGTTTGTGATGCACGGTGACACTAACAGTGTGGGTTTAATTCCTATACCAGCTGAGGTTACCATGAAGGACACTCTCTCAAACTTTGCCCTTGCCTGAGGTGAGGTCACTGTCAAGTTAAATCAACACCAGTCGTCTATCTCTCTACTTATGGTCCTCTGGGACTACACCCTCCCCACCAACAAAGCCTTGTACTGAGTGCCCCCACCCACCACTTCCAGCACCTGACTGCTGTGAGAACGGGGGCGTGGTTTCTCTTCCTCTGACTCCTGCTCCATGACTGACCAGTCAGATTGAAAGTATGGCTCAGGCTTTCAGGCCAAGCCCTGATTGGAATCTCCTGTCTGAAATACAAAGCTCACTCAATTCCATAAAACCGGATCGGGATACTTCTGGGATTGCATCTCCTTGGAAAATCTGGCCCAATTTCTGATGGAAAGGAGCAAGCTGCTGTAACTTTTTCCCTGAGTGATAGAGAACAGAGTAACCATGTTGAAGAATTCTAGCTCTTAATCTAACCAACAGTTTATTCAGCAGGAACTCAAATTCTGATCCTTGGAACGAATGCTGTTTTGTTATTTATATTGGCTCCTGTTTCTGGAATGGGATCTTGGTGAGTAAATGTTGATATAAACAGTATGATGTCTCTCTGTTAGTGTCTGATATGGGGTACAAACCTGGGTTGTTCTCCAGCCTCCTGTGGTAAAGGTGGAGAGAGTTTATCAACAGAGAGATGATCCAGCCCTGCCTCCTTTCACGAAACAGGACATGCTGGGGGGAGGGTAGCATCTCCTTGGCTGTGGGCATGTGTTCTCCAGAAATACTATCTTAAACCAGCATATCAATCTGGATCTTATCAAATATCATTGAGATGTAAGGACTCCTGATCTAATCCATTGCTTTTGGAACACTTACCTGTGTCCCTCCTGCAATCCATTGAACCAGGGTTGACCCCCTGGCTTGATGGTAATGGTTGAGAGGGGGATATGCCGGGCCATGAGGTTACAGATTGTGCTGGAGTATAATTCTGCTGTTGTTGATGGCCCACAGTGCCTCATGGATGCCCAGTCTTGAGTTGCTAGATCTGTGCAAAGTCTGTCCCATTTAGCACAGAGATAGTGCCATACAATATGATAGAGGGCATTCCCAATGTGAAGGCGGGACTTCATCTCCACAACGACTGTGCGATAGTCACTCTTACTGGTACTGTCATGGACAGATGTAACTGCAGCTGGCAGATTGGTAAGGATGAGGTCAAGTATGTTTTTTCCCTTGTGTTAGCTCCCAACATTGAGCCCAAACTGATTCTTTGGCCACCAAGTTAGAGATTGCCCCTTAACAATGCTTCACCAACAGGGAAGTGTTTGTACCCATTAGCTCAAAATGTCCAATCTTCTTTTTTCCTCTACAGCAGGTCAGGCAGGAGCCACTTTAATCTTTTAGGGATGAATCAATCAATACTGCAAAACAAAGATGCAGAGCTGGGATGGAGAGTTGGAGCAGGGGAAAGAGGCCAGCAGAGGCACTGGCTCACACAGTTGTCCTCCGATGACACAATCCAAAGATTAGGCTGTGTACCAAGGGCAGAATCAGGACCAAACACTACAGTGATAATTCCCACAGGAGAGTCAGGCTCTACTCTGTGCGCCAGAGATTCACTGGCCTGATACCATAACAGCAGGACTGGCACAGGAGCAGGGATTGGGCCAACTGGACTTTGTTAGAATTTTACTCCAATCAGTGAGGTTCCCTCTCATTCTGCTAAACTCCAGTGAATTGAAGTCCAGTTGACCCAATCTCTGCTCCTGTGCCAGTCCTGCTGTTATGGTATCAGGCCAGTGAACCTCTGGCGCAGAGTAGAGCCTGACTCTCCTGTGGGAATTATCACTGTTGTGTTTGGTCCTGATTCTGCCCTTGGTACACAGCATAATCTTTGGATTGTGTCATCGGAGGACAACTGTGTGAGCCAGTGCCTCTGCTGGCCTCTTTCCCCTGCTCCAACTCTCCAGCCCAGCTCTGCATCTTTGTTTTGCAGTATTGATTGATGCAGGGGTGATGTCCCTGCCCCCACCCCATGCCACCCGAGTGGGAGGTGCAAAGGGTGCTAGAACAAGGCAGCATGGTGGCTCAGCGGTTAGCACTGCTGCCTCACAGCACCAGGAGCCTAGGTTCAGTTCCAACTTGGGCGACTGTCTGTGTGGACTTTGCACATTCTGCATGGGTTTCCTCCCACAGTCCAAAGGTGTGCAGATTAGCTAGATTGGCTATGCTATATTGCCCGTAGCATTCAGGGTTAGGGTAGGGGGGTGGGATGCCGTTTGGAAAGGAGCAGTCTGAACTTGATTGGCCAAATTGCCTGTTTCCACTCCATAGGGATTCTATGCTAAGGGGTCATGGTCTCAGGACAGGCCATTTTGAACACTGATGTGATATTTATTCATTCTGAGGGTGCTGAATGTGTGGAATTTCTTACAAGAGGAGGCACTGAGGCAATAGAGGCCCAGTTTCTGAAGTTTAAGAAAAGAATACAAAAATTTCTGAAAGCTAGAGGTGTTCAGGCATATGCAGAGAGCATGGGAATATAGCATAGAGAGGATCAGCCATAATCATGTTGAATGGTTGGGTTTCTGTTCCTGTTTCCTGTCTGGTTAAACTGGAGAGTTAGAGCTCCACCATGTGGTCACAGTGCCACTACACAAGCACTGCTGAGTGAACAAGGGGGAGCGAAAGGGGACAGGATGAGTTGGTGGGTGTGGGGAGGTAAGAAACAGGCTACAAGATCAGGAGGTCCTGTTAGCTCATTATAATTCAACCACCCAAAAAAAACCTGACTGGGGGTGGGGGTGATGAAACTTTGGGGTAGGGGAAGCTGTTAGAACTGGAGATGCCTATACAGATAAGGAGGAGAGGTCATGGAGAAAGGATAGAAACTTTAATGTCAAGGCACTGTTGCCCCATGAGCCAATACACAACAGGAAGCTCAGAAGCAATGGGGAAGAGGGACATGGATTCTAGATAGCCTCTTTCACATTGAAGCTTCTAAATGGTCTGATAAATTTGGAAGTGTGCG